ATTCATTGTTTCCCCTGTTCATGCTCTATGGTATCAGTTTACACCATTATGAAAGGAGATTTAGATCCAAGAGGTTTGTTAGAAAAAAGGAGGTATAATTAAATGCTCTGTGTCCCGGGTCATTCCCAACAGGAAATTTGGAGGCAGGTCTTCTGCTGTCCTAGAAAGGGGAGTTTGGCCAGAAAAGCGTGGGCGGCACTGGGCCCTTGTCCTCAGTGCCAGAGAGCAGTCCTTGATCTCTTTGTTTGCTAATCTGGATATGGACCTGATGACCATAATTTATGAACACACCACTATCTAAACAGGAGTCACAGAGTTTTCTCTCCTGCCCCACTGTTGATGTCTTCACAAAAGAAGCTGGGAAACCCATGGATAACACAGGACAAGACTGTATTTCAGTTCTGTAGAGACAGGATGCTGTGGTACAAGCCCAGAGATGGAGACAGCCTAATTAACTTGAAAATTATTCATTATTCAAGGCTCATTAACATCAACCGAGTAATACACTGCTATGGATTTTTTCTGGATGATGATCATTGGCATCAGCCAGCAGTTCAACAGGTAGTGGCTAAAGGCTAAGTGGTGTTACTACAATTCCTGCTCCCAACAGCTGGAGTGGGACTCCACTGCTTTTTGCCATTGCTGTCTACCAGCAGCAGATGATGTGTTTTGGAAAACCTCACTCTGCTGAGGAGACTAAGACTCTGGGACCTGCCTTATGTGCAGATTCCAGAATTGTTCAGGTATTCATGTATTGACCTTAAGACAATTCCCTAGTCTTTGAGTGCAGACATAGTTCTAACTCACAACACAAAATTCCACTGGTGCTGCAAAGTGACAGAGCACAGTTCTCTGCTCTTAGATGTCTAACTGCCTTAAATAATAATTTTCCAGGCAGTGAGATATGATGCCACCAGGGAAGAATAATCAAATGTTCTTAATGATTACCCAGGGAATCTGTAATGAACCCTGCCCAAAGGACTAGGAGACAGAGCTGGGCCCATTCTCATGGTCCCTGAGGAAAGCACAGCATCCCTTGATGTGAAAGACCTAGGCAGAGAATAAGTTTTTTGATGAGACTGTTCAGACCAGTGTGTCAAAATCCCCATTTTTAAGTATATCCAGATTTCCAGAGCATCAGGAGCCATGATCACAGGACACCAGAGAATGCTGCTATACTAAACCCACTCCCAGCATACAAAACCATCTTTCCAGAATATGTAGAAGTGCTTTTGTGCTTTTTTCCCAGCACCTCTATTCGAACACAAAATTAACAGTGCATGAAAATAACATAATAAATTTGTGAAGTCTGGAGTCCCCTTGGTCCTACACTATGACCAAAGAAAACTTTGCTTCTGCACTTAGAGGGATGTTTCTATCAGGTTTTAGGGAACCTTGAAGAAGTTAAAGGGCACACAGTGGTGACATCCTTCGTGTCTCTCCATCAGATGTTTTGGTTACCAGGAGTTCAATAGTGCAGGACACTTTTAAAGATGCCAATCAGAGCACTAGGTGTTCTATGCCTAAGAGGAGTGAATCTGGGCCCCTTGGCATTTTGTCCTCGTTTGTTGCTCTGCCAGGCTTGGCACTCCTCTTTCAGCTTTCCCTCTCTTGGAGAGGACCATCCCTGGGCATGGCTGCCAGTAGTCCATCAGCTGGCAGACAGGAGCAGTACCAGAACAGCAAGGGGGAGAACCAGGCTGCTGCAGCTCTGCACCAGGGAAACCTTAGCAGGCTCGAGGAGAGGTGCAGGAGACAAAACCTCAAATTGCACCTAGACGTTCAATGGGAAAATGGGCTGAAGCAAAACAAAAGTTTGGAGTAATATTTTCAACAAATTCAGATATTTTTTGCTATTCTGAACCGGAGTGATTGTGATGTGCAGATTAGAGCTCCATCAGTTGCTTCATAGAGACATATGTATACAGCTTCAGTCTTACTAGAAAAAGGTGATTATTGGATTTTACTTGATTTGCTTTGTGCACTTGTTTGGGTTTTGTTTGGTTGGGGGTTTTTAGCTTATGGGTTATCTTTTAAAGGTTTCCCCTATAAAACATGAGAACTGTGAACTTCCTCCTTGCAAGAAAGGAAAGCCCTGACTGATACATCCACAGGACTGCAAGTGAATGGGTTTTAAGTGAAGGGAAAAAAACCCCCAAATATTATAAGATTCAGAACTAAATTATGAATACTGAAAACTTTTGAACAAATATTTTTCTCTAGCTCAGTAAAAAATAAACCTCTGCTTGTCTCATCCAAGTATTATCAGTAAGCACCTGGGAGTCACAGAGAATACAGCCTGCTCCTGTGAGTCAGGATGTCTGCTAGGCACTTCTCAGGAACATTTACCTTGCAAGCTCTTTCCAAGGAAGCGATTAACATTGATTTCAATGTGCACAGTGGCATTGCTTTTGCTCTAATAGAACTTTATTGTTTGACACTTTGCTCACTCAGTTTTTCTGCTTACATGCATTTGTCCTAACAGCAAGCTGCAGACACAACAGGGGGGAGCAGCCTTCCCCTTTTTCAGCACTCTCTGTGTATATACTGAATGAAACATAATATTCTTAATAAATAAATCATGCAGTGCAAGATGTGAAGGGAGCAGGAACAAAGGAAGAAAAAGGCCTGACTGAGTTTGGCTGGCAAACTTCAGAGCATGCTGGCCTAATGTCTTTTTTTCATTGAATTCATGCAGATTCATACAGCTACTTCTCAACCCTTCATACATATGCAGGCTTGAATTTGTGGAGGTTGCAAAGAAAATCCTTCCAAGTGTAAACAGCACATAAACTCCTTGCTATCTAAGAATGTCTCTCAGAGGTGCAAGCAGCCTCTGTGCTCCCTGTTGGAATAATAGCTCTGAATATTAGCACTTACATATGGCCAGAAGTGTGGCTATCTCTAACAAGTGTGTGCTAGCTGCACCTCTCAGTTCTGGTCCTGTCACAAACTGTCACATCTACTGGATCTGAAACATCCACAGGCCCTGTCTGAGGGGAAAAACCACTTGAGAAACAATGTCGGTACTTTCCTGGCTGTGCATTTGTTTTTCAGAAGTGCTGAGCATCCACAATGCAGGGAGCCTTCCCTTCTGGGCACAGCAAACTGAGGGTGCTCAGAAGGTTTTTGCTTCCACACGAACGGCAGCCAAATGCAGAATGTGCTGCAGGCCAGGGGACAGGGAGCAGCTGTGCCATGGTACGCTGCCCTGTCATTGCCACTGTCACTGCCCCAGCGCCCCTTGGAGCGAGCTGCAGCTGCAGCAGCAGGTTCTCTGCACCCCCAGGTGTCCTGGCAGCTCAGAGGGTGTGGGTGGCACTTGCTGGTAAAGTGGTGCCTGGGCATCATTTCAGAACAGGTCTTTCACAGAGACACTTTTGAAATTTCCATGCCACAGCTTTCACCATGTGCAGCAGTCAAGCCTGAGAGTATGATTTTGGGAAAAGGAACAATATGATCTAAAAAGCAAGAAAACAAAACCTTTAGGACAGCTGATTGGTGTTCTGCTGACGTGCAATTTCATCAACTAGTGACAGCAAGATATTGTTCCACATTAAATGTGGATGGCTTGGAGAAGGTTATATTCTTATTGCCCCATAGAAACCAGTAATAAAATTCCTGATCCTTTTTCTCTGAAGAGATTCTTTTGGGCTAGACCCAAAACTTTCTTGATGCTGATTGTTGAAAATGAAGGTGAGACAGGTGTTTCTAGTGTTTTCTTGTGGGCTCTGCACTGATATCCAAAGTGTTTCTGTGTTCAGATTTCTCATGCTGTTGTTTCACAATTGTCCACCTGCTCCTGGTGGGTTAAACAATGTTCTTCCTATCATGCTTCCAAGTGTTTGGGATTTCTGATAAAAGAGGGAGCAGCAATGTCCATTGCTGTTACAAGAATGGCATTTTTACATTTGCTGACATTTCCTTCTGTTTGCCAGTATCCCAGAGCCAAGTCAAACAGCCCCACCTCCTCTTGCCATTCTTGCTGCTGACAGCTCTTCCCAGTTCACCTTGTGGTCATGCATTTCCAGGCAGTGCTGTGCCTCAGCTTTGTGGGACAGTCTCACTCTCAGTCCCTGTTACAGGATCCAGCTCCCCCGCCCCAAGCCCAGCTTGTGCGGCCCCTGCACTCCCCTTTCTCATGGTGCCTGTGCCTTCCTACACTGAGACTTCACCCCTGCAGCAGAAGGAGCAGTCAGAGGATGTTTGTAACACCACAGCCATGTTTTTCAAAACATGCCTCCCTTATCACTCAGCTGGAGAGAGCAGGGTCCCTGGGTAGGACAGTGCAGGAAAGCTCATCTGAGAGACCCTTCAATGACATCTACTTCTCTTTCCCTGCAACATCTGGGTCTCCAACCCTTTCTCCCATCACACTGATGGAAACAGGCTTCACCAGCCACATATCAAAGTCTCTGCAGCATATCCTGGGGATTTGCACACTGGCTTCCAGTGACCCAGCTGGGTAAATCTGGAGCATGCACTTCTGTTGGTATCCTGTAATGAAATGGTTTCACAGCCTCACTAAAATGGGTGTGTTGCACAGAGGGAAAACTCCCAAATACCCCAAATCTCCCAGCTTCCTTCACCATGCATCTGCTCTTTTTTTCCCTTTTTTTTTTTCAAGAAATGAGAATGTTTGCTGTAAGTAAGAATGTAGCCTTTGAAGCTGAATGTAAAAGAGTAATTTCCTATTGGATCCTGTAAGAATTTTGCATAGGAGGAACAAAAAGGCACTATATAAGATGCGTAAATAGTTATATGACTGGTTTATGTTGAAAATGTGCTTTCTTGTAGCTACAGGGACTATAAAAGACAGTCTGAAGTACTGTCCTATCTTTCATGAGAGGAGGTGTTTCACAACAAAAACAGAATATATATACTTGCTTTATTTCATTGTTCATTTTCTAGAGATGGAGGAAAGTGACATAAGACATTGTGCAAAAAAATCAAATGTATGCACATCTGGTGGTTGCCAAGAATTGTATTTTGTGCCACATTAAGGGTTATTTTCTTCAGGGCAATATTTTTCTTTTTTAATTTTAAAAGTATTTTACTGTAAGAAACATCTATAGAAAGGTGTATCTGCACAGGGCATTTAACCTCCATTGAAGCTCACAGAAATGTCTGAGGACTGACAGTAGACTCTTGATCATGACCTGTTCTTCCTCCAGGTCTTTTTCTCCTGGCTTTCACCAAGTCCTCACAGTCAGGCCTAAATTTGACTCAGCTGAACTGTGGACAGGTTCTCTACAAAAGGAAACCAACCCTTCAGTAATGTTATTATACACCCATCACAGGATCAGGATAGATGGAGAGGGCTGAAGGAGCTGAGGCAACAAGGGCAAAGTGCAGAAATGGATGATGGATAAAGAGAACATGAGGCAGCAAGGCAAAATGCAAGAGGGAGATGAGTCCAGGAGAACTGCGCTCCTTGGGCGCCTGAGCGTGTGCTGGGAACGCGTTGTAGTGATGGTCTTGCAGAGCCAGTGACTGTGCCATGAGAGAAATGGTGCTGAGAAGGGTCAGAAGTGATTGAGAGTCTCTGTGAATACTGTGCCAGGTCCAGAGGTGGGCAGAGCAGCCAGTGTAGTTAAGGGAAAGGGGCTGTACTGCTGTAGAGCTGCACCAGCAGCACAAGGTCCAGAGCATGCATTCCCCAGGATCTGATGAATGTGGGGTGGGAAAGAAAACACAGTCCCTGCAAAATGACACTGGGATGTGCTGTAAAGAGAGGTTGTACAGATGCTTCTATGTGTAAAGATGAAGGAGTGGGGCAACACTGAGCTTTGCACTGAGAGTAGTGGAACACTGCTCACCTTGTGCCTTCCTACACCCATCAGGTAGGACCTCCAGTACAGGGAGCACTGCAGAAGGGCAAAGCCACCTTGTTATGGACGCTCCCCTGTCTTAATTTCTCCTTCTCTGAAAAAGAGATCAGAAAATAAATAAAATGATGAGTGTGAGGACAGCTACTTAGAAGAAAACTTGGCCATTTGTGCAACAAGGATGGAGGTGGGTCATACCAGAGCACCAACACACAGCCATGTCATTACCAGCCTTTGGTGACACAGTGGCATCCAAAGCAGGGTAAGGCAGAACAAGAAACTTCTATGAGAACTTGCAGCAGGAAAAGCTACAGCTGCTGGGAAACAAGGGTGCAGAGGTAACCCAGACTCCAAATGATGAAGTCCTGGAGAAAAATCTGGAAATGAGAGAAGAAAGGAAAGGATAAATCCTAGAAAGGTCTGGAATACAGGTGTGTGTGTTATCACAAGAGCTGAGCCCCACAGCTGGCCCTGAGCTGCAGGCAGTGCAGGAGGGGTGTGAAAGCACCAGGAGGAAGGTGGTGAGGAGGAGGCTTAGGGGTCCAGTGGTGGCCAGGCTGTCAGTTGGTATCAGCAATAAGATGTCAAAAGTTAGTGTGAAACTAAGCTGCTGGAGGGCTGGGTGTATTTACCTTTGGTTAAAATTTCAGGTGGCAGTTTTGCAGCTTCAGGCCAAATCCTGTTCCCCACTGAGGCCACAGGCACAGATCCCTCTGACTTCACTGGCACCCAAGAGTTCACTGCAAGGGGAGAAAGCAGAGTGCTTGGCTGATGAAAAATGGAAGTGCTGAATAGTGCTGGAGGAGTGTCTCTCACCTCCCTGCTGTTTTCCCCTCTGCCCTGGCGTTCCAGTTGGAGCTGCTCCTGGCTGAGTCAGTGCAAGGTGCTCTCTGGTGTCAGGCGCCGGGAGTCACTGCTTGCTGTGTGACCTCAGCCTGCAGGGGAGGAAAGGGCACTGGGGGAGAAGGAGCAAACGCAGCTTGAATATTAAGTCAAAGTGACGAATGTGCATTTGCTCTCAGGCAAAAGCCACAAGCCCCAGAGCCATCTCTAAGGCTTTCACTGGGGCAAACCTCTAAAATCACTCAGAAAACTTTGTCTGTGCTCTTACCTTAGGATTTGATGTTGTTAGTTCATGTTCAGTCATTTAGTCCATATGCTGCAAATGGTCAGCAGTGCCATGACTGGCATTTTGACAGGGCAGAACAGCATCTCCTCTCACCCACTTACAGGATCTAGTCATTAAAAGTCTGCCTTTTCTGCCCGAGCATCAGAAAAGGCTTTAAATGTCGATTAGTCCTGTCTAAAAAGTCAGTATTGCTTTTCTATCTTTAATCTCAAGAAGAAAGGGAACAATTACATGGTCCAAAGTCTTAAATAATAGCCTGTAACTCAGACTGCCTTCTCATGATTGCAGCTGGTGTCATGACCCTTGAGAAATAATCTCAAACATGTCTTTAACACCACTGGTCCACTTTGATGAGAAACAGGCTATCCATTTAATTTTTTACATCTCTTTCTACAATATTATTAATTTCTTGCCTTTATTTATTTATTTATTTTTTAAATTAAAAAGCATATTCTCTCTTCCAGATTCTTGAAAATTTAACAACACAAAGTAAAGGCCAGAAGAAACCCTTACCAAAGTACTCTGGCATCAGGAAAAAAGTTCACATCCACCATGGCAACTCCTTCCAGGGAGAGAGGAAGCAGGGCACCCTTTGCTGTTATGATGCTGGGCAGGGATTAAAATCAGGCATCCAATGCACCTAGTTATAACCAGACTTAGTAGAGGAGCTGGTTGAGATTCTGCAGGTGAGCCAGTCCTGGTAAAGTCACTGCTGCAGAAAGGGACTGTCTACAGAGCAGAAGCTTCATCAGAAGTAACTCAGCAAGCAGTGAATGCAGATAGTTTGTGCTTTGCACACCTTCCCCACACATGAGTCTGATTCCTGAGCAGTGATCTGCTCTTTCACATGCAAACACTGTTCATGGGAGAATAGAAGAGATTTTTGTAATTTAGAGCAGTGCCTGTTCAGTCCCTTGCACTCTAATTACTTTCTAGAGAGACTGTATTGCAGCCCTTTATAGTATTTTGAGCACTATAATTGTTTAGAGACATGATTACATCTGGTACCTTGGCCAGGAAATGCTGGATTTTTTCCTAATTTCCCTTGGATAAATCTGTGAGTCTTGATTTCATTGTTTATATGAATGAGATAATCAGTAAATGAGTACACATATAAGGAATTTGTGTGCCTATGCAACTCTGTGTCTAAACAACCAAAACTTGTGTAACAACCATAAACAATCACTTAATCTAATGTTGCAAGTTTTCTTTCTGTCTCTCTGTTTCTGTATCAGTGTACTTTATGGATGCTGCATCATTCCTGTCAGCCCTTCAAAGCGTGGGAATTGTGTCTCCTCCTATCTGCCAAAAAGCACCTACAGTGTTTTAGAACCTGGTGCCAATAAATAAATCAAATAACAGCTTGCACCAGAGATCTGGGACTCTCCACAATTGTTTTTATATTTGAGTGAATGATGTGTGGTGGAGAAAGCTGCTGAGCTTGCAGCTGCAAAGACTGAATCCCTTTATTTACCCACTGAACAGCTACAACAAGGGTGATGGGAGAGCAAACTTCTCCCATTGCCCCATGCAAGCTGGGACAAACCTCTTCCAGCAACAACTCAGTCTCCCTACTCTTGTCTTTGGTGTCATGCCAGCTGTGACAGTGGCTTTTTGTGATAGCAGCTTCTTATCACTGAAAACTGGGCATGAAAGGGTCTCGCTCCCAAAGGTCAACAAACAGATGTGCATAAAAAGGAAACCCTACAAACGTCTGAGTAATTCCTGATGCTTAATTGCACCCAAGGGCTGCACTGTTGGTGTCAAGCATGTGTTCCCTTTCCTACAGCAGCGCAAGAAGATTAAGTATGAGAGGGCCACATGTAGCACCCTGACTGAAACAGGGCAACATGATTAATGTTCAGGCTGTGCTTATTAAGAAAAGAATAGTAGAATCATTAAGGCTGGAATAGATATTAAAGATTATCTAGCACAGCCATTATGCATGTTTGCCATTAAACCACACCCACATGCCTTTGGAACAATTTCAGGGATGGTGATTCCACTGCTTCCCTGGGCAGTCTGTTCCAATTCTTGACCATGTTTTCAGTGAAGGAATTTTTCCTAATACCCAGGGTAAACCTCCCTGATGCAACTTGAGACTATTTCCTCTTGTTGTACCATTTGTGACTTTGGAGAACAACCCCCATCTGGTTGCACCCTCCTTCCAGGAGCTATAGAGAGTATTAAGGTCCACTATGATTCTCCTTTTCTCCAGACTAAACATCTACAGCTCCCTCAGCCACTCCTCATAGTTTGGCTTCTGATGACAAATCTGATCTTGGAACTCTACATCTTTAAAAGCAACAGATTCTCTGTTAAACTAACTCAGCTTTCTACTGTGATTGAATATTTTTTCATGTAATTCAGTCACAAGGCTGTTTTGAACATAGGAGACTGGCATGGACTTTCTCTGTTTTGAATCTTGTAAAATAAAAACCAGGCCTGGCTCCCATACTGAGCCCAGGGGACACCACTGGTGACCAGCCACCAGGTGGATTTAAATTCACCACCACTCTCTGCACCCAGCCATTCAGCCAATTTTCTACCCAGCAACATGTGCATCCTTTCAAGACCTGAGCATCCAGTTTCTCCAGGAGAATGCTGGCCTGGATGCAACAGCTGGCCTGGGTGAATGACCTCTTGGATGTTAGCACCAGCTCAGTAAATCCCACAGTCACTGTGGCTGTGGCCTGGAGACGCTGCCTGCATGGATTGAGTGCATCCTTCACGTGTCCCCAAGGTGCCTGACCAGGACAGACCACAGCCAGGATATGGGACTGGCTGTGCCTCTGTCCTGGCCCAGGACTTCTCTGCTCTGCAGGGCGTGAGCTGGTGTGTAAAGCCATTTCCATAATCCTCAGAACATAGTTACTCTCTATGCTTAGCTCAGCTTGGAGATGCCTCCTTTGCCTGTAATGCTTTTGGCAGAGTAACCTCGCTAAATCCAACAGATCCCTGATCCAGCCTCTCAGTTCAGCACAGGATGTCCTTGTAAAGCTCAAGCAGCATTATGCCGCAATACCTCCAAGTGTATGTTTGAGTGTTTCACTGCACAGTGAGAGACTGCACAGGGAGTTCAGACCTTTCCACCAGCCAGCACAGCAATAAAATCAAGGCCAAGCAAACAGAAAAGGCACTGAAAGAGAACCAAATTTTGTTGAATAAAAGCATTTCACAAAGAAACCCAGAATTATTTCAGTAAATTAGATGAAAGATCACACACCTATAAACAAAAAAGAAAATTGCAGGAGAGCTATTCTTTCCAGAAGGAATGAAATTTTCCTTTTTGCCCTCTGGTAATCAATGGTAAAGCCACAGCATATTTCACTAGGAATAGCAAAGCATGCCTGAAGACTTCCCGAGAGACAACAACAATCTTTAACAATTTGCACTGGAGCAGCTGAGAAGGTCACTTACTCTCTGTGCATGCTGGGAGTAATGTGAGGGTAGGTCAGGTACAGGTCACAGATTTCTGTTTAAACAGACACAGCAGTCCCTGTACCCTGCAAAACTTGTGGTAAAAAAGAGCCCAAATATTGTAGCTGTTGTGCCATATCATAGGTTCCAGTGAGTAAGTACAAGTATTGTCTTGCTTTCTTCAGCTCTACAGTCTTCACCCCAGAGCCTGCTTTTGTGTGTGCTGTGAATTTCCTCCATTTGATCTGTACTCCAAACTCACCAACATCAATAGGATTTTGGGGTTATATTCAATTTTGAATGAATGAACTTTGTATCACACACTGCTTCTGGTTCCCCCCTTCCAGAGAAATCGGTTTAAAATGCCAGAGAAATCAATAACCAAAGCTGAGTTAACAAAACACTGAACTTTACCATTCTTATTGGATTTGCAGCCCTTCTGAGAAGACTGGATGTAGTTGTGCTGTATCTACTACATATTAACACATCTCACAGGTACCTATCATGCTATCTGACCATGGGAACATATGGGACTCCACTTCCTCAGGCTTAACAAATTTGTTCACAGAAAAAGATACATTATGTGCAGGATTTCCCTTTTCTGAAGTATAACTCCATAAAAAGAGGATTATGCATTTCTCTAAAGCTTCTCTTTTGAATGATGCTTAATATTCTGTTTTGCTGGTTAGGAAGGTAAATGTCACCAGTTTTGCTTCTGATGCCAAATCTGATCTTGGAACTCTACATCTTTAAAAGTGACAGATTCTCTGTTAAACTAACTCAACTTTATCTTGTGATTGAATATTTTTTTCATGTAATTCAGTCACAAGTCTTTTTTGAACATAGGAGACTGGCATGGACTTTCTCTGTTTTGAATTTTGTATGATAAATTTTGCTGCCACTATAGCCTCATACTTGTTGGTCATATTCTTATCCAATATAGAGGCTGGGTTTGTATTTTTCCTTCCCCATATTTAAATGCACACCTTTTATTGTGAAGTGGGGGTTTTTTGTGTGGTTTATTTTGTTTGTTTGTTTGTGAAAATTAGATGTCTTTCTTTAAGCAAGGATGGATAAAGAGGGTGGTGGACATTCATATGAGTGCTCTTGTTCACTTTGGCCCCCCAGTGAGGCTAAGGCCTGACAGAGTGAGGATCCCTGCCCATGGGGCTCTGACTCCCTGCCTGGGGCTGATCTAGCTGGGCCATTGCAGCCAGCCTGCTGCTCCTCCTGTCTTGCTCCTGAGCACACACTCTGCTTATGGGACAGTCCCAGACCTTCATATATTGAGGGTTTTTGGGGAATCATCTCATTTACCTCTTAAAAAAC